TCTCTACTGATGTGTTTTCAGGTGCAGGCCCAAGTGCAGTCAACAGATGATCTTGATAATCAAACAGTAAAGAGAACTCGTCAGTAAGTATCTAATTTGGAAATTTTCAGCTTTGTAGCACGTAAGATTCTCATTTTAGCTCAGACTTCCCGGATATGATAATAGAAGGGGGGGTGGATTTTTTTCCCCTCTAGGCACATCAACTAGAGTGACAGTGATCCTCCCCCTATTCTCAGTTATTTCCTAAATTATCTTCTAATTTAACCAGGAGGAGTTGGTTTGCATAAGACATTTGCAGGAATAAGGGGGAAGACTGTAAGAGGATCAGGCTAATCTCTAGTACTCATGAATACTGCATAGACTAGAAGAAAAATTCAAATGTCAATGTTATCCTGAGCTCTTGTTGTAATTTTCCTTTTATTTAATATGCATATCAGCCTGTGAAGCAGTTTAGAAATGAAAAAGGCAGAGCCCAATGAGGCCACTTGGCTCTTCCCCCATATACTCTTCCCATACTATTCTGTGCTTGCTGGGCTCTTTGCAGGGTGTTTCTTGGGAACACAAAAGGCTGAGGAAAGCAGCAGGTGCCACAGAGTGGAGTCTGTCACCTCTTGAATTTGCTGTGTGGGCCACTTGGCCCCATCTGTGGCAGGGAAATGTTTTAAAGGAGTGAACTCTTGAGTAAGTGCTGTAGTTCTGGTGCACTTCAACAGCCTGTGATTTAGTGTTCTGAATAGGTGTAGGCAATGTAAAAGGTACAAGAATCAATAGCCAGGTGTCAATAGCATGTGATTTTGTACTAGCCAACATTCCAAAAGCTTGCACATTCTTTGCTGGCCAGTATTTTGAACATACCTTTAAAAATACCCTGACTGAAATCTCTGCACAATTTTAAGTGATTTTTGTGTTTTCAAACTAGATGGCGAACTTCTACCACAAGTGGAGGGATCCTGACCGTGTCTATTGACAACCCAGGAGCAATCATAAGCCCAGTGTGAGTTTTCAATTAAGTTCTGAAATGTTCTGAACATAAATGAAAGTGTTTCAGGTGACTTCAAAGTGATAGCTTCTTGTGAAGACTTTTAAGTCTGGCCCCTTTCTGAGTGTTTCTGAGCAGTGTTTGAATAATATCACAGCTGGATTTCACATGTCAGCTCCCAGTTAGGAGCTTGATGTGGTGTATAGAGTGGAAGAGTGGTGGGCTGGTACATTTTCACTTTGTCTGTGCCTTCCAAATCAGGCCATGTCACAGTTGTTTTCCACCTCGGAGTGGAAATTAATGAGCACCTACTTGATATATAATGGTAACAGTTACTCCCTGATTCATAAAAATACTGCTGGACTTGTGCTTAAAGAGACCATTGCTGTGTTTGTGTTTGGGAAGTTGATGGTACTGTTGTTTATAGGTGGTATATTTTTAAAATGTCTTGATTAGCATTTCCTTGGTAGCATTTTATCAGTAAGGGAGACTGTACCAATTTATATTTTTTGTATTTATAGGATGAATTAACCACAAATTACATGTTTGTCAATGGAATTACAGATAAAAAATAAGATGGTTTCCTGCTGGGACTCTTGGTGTCTGATAACAATAACAAATGGTCCCTTTTTTAGTTCTGCCTGACTTGCCTTCTTGAATTTGCACCCTCCAGCTTTTCAGCCAGCCTGGTCAAATGGTTTGATGCAAAATCCGTACCCTCTATCAGCATTAAGGCTTTCTTGCATAAAACACATGTTCATCATGTCCTTTGCAACATTCTTCTTTCACAGGTCCCAGAAACTACGATTAACTCGTAGTCCTGTGCCATCATTTCTGATGAAGAGGGACCAATCTGAAGAGAAGAAGATTCCAAAAGGGGTTCCATTGCAGTTTGATATAAATAGTGTTGGAAAACAGGTAAATGCAATTTTCCTTTCATAACTGTGAAAGTAGTTTCAAGACCAATAAAAGCCAGTGAGGCACTTTGCTCCTAGACTCCCAAGTGACAGAAAGAGAGAACTAGTGACTACTTCTTGTTTCCACTTCCAGTCTTTCCGCTAACTCGCTGTGTAACTTCAAGCAAGTAGCTAAACTCACTGTTCTTGTTCTTCTCGTTCATGCCTTGCATGCCCACATGATTTAAATGGGATTTAAAATGTTGAATATTTCTAAAAGGCTTCTGGTGCTCCTGCTGTGCTTGCATCAGCAACTGTGAATAATTCAGGGATGAGCTGCTTTCAGCTGTGTGACCTGCCTGGAACCCTGGCAGCCAAACTTATAAGGCAACTTTTGCTGCCCATCTAGGAAAAAAAAAACAACTAAATGTGAGCATTTAAGGGCTTGAAAGATGAGCAATTTTTCACAAGTTTCATGAAGACAGGTGATTTGGTGCAGCAATCCTAATGCTGTCATTGAAGGAATTCTTACAGGGTGGCAGAGTTAGATGCTGTTCTTGTAATCAGCTCCTTAGTGCCAGCTGTAGAAATCTGCATGGAGTCAAGGCATTGATCTGTATTTGTTCCATCCAGGAATAAGAACTATGTCAGAAAGTCTACTAATGTAGTGTAAAATTGATTGAACTTCTGGATTAGACTCCAGCTTGCTGCCTTAGCTGAGTGAACTGGAAAGCAATCTGCATTAAAATGGTGAAAATGTTGCATTTGTTGAAATTGCAGAGAATCTATGTGGGGAAATGTGTACTGGAAGTTCCATTTTTCAGTCTGTTTGTCCTCAGTTTACTTTACAATATTTTGAGTAGGCTTTGAGTATTGACATTATATACCATGTGTTCTTAATGAATTCTGAAAATGCAAGCTCTTGATGTGTAGTCCAATCTGATTTTTAAATGGTGTGGGAAGTGACAAAAAATCCAAGTGAAGCAACTGAGGAGTCAAGTGATGATACAGACTGAAGAAAAAACTGTTCTGTCTCCATTACTTTGATTAAATTAACCCAACACCTTTAAAGTTTTGGTTAAATTATGTTATTTTTCAGACAGGGATGACGTTGAACGAGCGATTTGGGATCCTGAAGGAGCAGAGGACAGCACTGTCTCAGAACAAAGGAAGCCGTTTTGTAACAGTGGGCTAACCTGGCAGATGGACTTGGGCACTGAGCCCACCTACCTAAGCCCCTGAAATAGAAGTGGGCAGAAGAATACAGCATATGTCACTAGAATTCTCCAGACATCTTGCTAAGATGGTGGCAGAGCTATCTCTCTTTATTACTTTTACTTGGAATGGTGAAAGACTTAATGCCCTGAGGGAGAAAAGTGGAAAGAAACTGATCCGACGTAGTGGCACCATCACCTGGTTGGAAAAGATTCTGTTGCCCAGCTGAGTTCTTTCACCCCTCTGTTATGGTAAAGATTGTTTAAGTGTTTAATTACAAACCCCATTTTAGGGTTTTTTAGGGACTGCCTTTGAGCTCTCTTTCAGAGACCAGTTTAGCACAGAGCCTCAGTCCGTGGATACTTTGGTAGCGATGTAGCGGCATTTTTCATGGGAGCATTGGTTCTGTACTTCTTTGTGCTTTTAAAGTTCCATTTTTTTCCTTTCTTGAAAACTGTTTTGCATCCTCACATTCACAAATAAAGCTCTTAGCTGAGACCCAAAATTTGTAACTGGGATGGAGACTATTCTACTCTTATCCTTAAAAGTGGTCCAGATCATATACCATATTGGAGGAATACTGCAGAGGCAGTCTCAGAGTCCTTTGTATTCCAAATAGCTCAACTTCATCATTCTCCTCTGTAAATGGAGTTTATCCATCTCCTTTTCTTCTTAAACTTCTGATTTTTATTTCTTTTTGAAATGTTTTTCACAAACTAAATGCAATAACTTCACATTTTTGAATAATTTGATAGGAAAAGATAAAGCCTTCCTTCACAAGGAAGTCAGCAGTATGGTAGAGTTTCTTGCCCTCCTAGATACAGGATTCTCATCCTGCATATTTTGCCCCAGAGGGTTTTCTCTAACTTAAAAATAGCTGGAGGGAAACAATCTTGTGGCACTTGTTTGTTTATACCAAAGAGAGGTAAGATGTGAAGCTGATCCAAAGTGGTCAGACATCTGGAAATTGTCTGAAACTGAGGAACGTTTCTGGAGGAAAGCCCTCACTTTGCCAGCCTGTGTAAGGCATTAGGCAGGAACATGTAGCCACCTGCTTTAAGCATAGCTCTGTGCATCAGAATCTGCAGGACAGTAACAACTGGGGCATCCTCAACCTGTATTTATATAATCCCTAAAACTGAGGCACCTCTTCAGAATTGCTTCCAGACCAGGCATTGATGATCTTGGCACTGCTTTTTGGTGAGGAGGGCTAGGTACAGTCAGGTACAAGAGGGGCTGGCTTGCTGCATCCAGGAACGTTCATGGCGTTTGAAGCAGGTTTAACTCCTTTTCACATTCTTGAAGAATTTATATTTGACAGAGTTGGTTTCCTTGCATTTTTATCTCAAATTCCAAGTTAACTAGCATATACTGGCAACTTCAGCCTTGAAGAGCACTTGACAGCAGAAGGGCTTTTTTTTTTGGTATCGTTTTGAAGTCAGAGTGCACTCTGATGCTAAATAAAGGACTAAAACCCTTGTTTTTAATGTTGGAAAATACACCTTAGCAGAGGCAAACTAAATGTAATGGTGTTAAGGTTTCTTTCTCAATTACTAGTAGGATTTTTTTTTTTAATAAATGTCCCACTGTTAGAATTTGAGTAGGTAAAGAGTAGTCAGTCATCCTGTTTCAGTGTATACGTTTTTCATGTGCCAGGATGCAACAAAAAAATTCTTTTGCATCGGCCTAGATGCAAAACATTGATGCAGTGCATCAAAAGTGCTAGTTTGTATTTAATGAGAAGATGCTTTACACTGTACCTTTTGGTATTTTTGGAGAAGTTATTACATTTGATCTATTCTGAAGCTGTTAATTTTTTTTTTAATAAAAAGTTACAGGTTTTATATTGTCTTGTTCCTGTTATAACCACCTGGGCAATATACTGGTTATGTGAATTTTCTGATAGCTTGCAAGGGGTTCTTCTTGATCAAATTCTTATTAAATATTCTGAAGAACACAGCAGAAAGCAACCTAACTTAAAAGAGGTTTCACACTCCTTGCCTACTTTAGTACTCTGACAAGAGAGCACTTATTGGAGTGGCGCTGTAGAGGCTCACTTCCATTTGAATGCGTCAGCTACTAATTAATGTTTCAGTAGCACTTCCTAACTCAGTGATTTGGTGTGGTGGGAGTACCAGACGTGTCAGCGATTGCTGCTGTGCCATGTCCTGATAGCGAGAATCGCCGTCATCAACACCTTGTGCTGCAGGAACAGCCCGAGCAGCTTCCTGGCTGTGTGGGAGTGCTGTGCCAGCAGGAGGCACAAAGCACTGGAAATGCTGCTATTAATTGTCAGTGCAGGACTAAATACTGCCTGTAAATGTATCTGATAAGGTGTTAAATATTGTGGTTGTCTTGCTACTTGATTATTGACAGCCTTTCTTCTTATCAGCTCGCGTGTGTTGGCTGCAGCATCAGGTAGGTTCAGTGGAAGCAGTAGGGCAAAATGGCATTTATGAAGATGTAGCAAAGGGTGTGGCCTTTTAATGTAATCAATCCTTAAGTTATAAAACGTGAAGCAGTTGTTACATTTCCCACTTAGCGGAGCTCTGTGCGCTCTGCCCTTGTTTTGCTGCTGGAACGGGCCCGACAGCCAGCAGCTGTGAGTGATGCTCACCCAGAATCCATCCTGTGACATCCCACGTTGGCGGGAAGACTACAATTTTTAACAGTTCCAGCAGGTGTCCAGACGTGTCCGGGGCGGCGATCCCCTTGCACGCCGGCTGAGCCGAGGCGGGCGGGAAGACGCGGTCCTGAGGAGCGGCTGGCCCGACCCGGTCCGGTCCAGCCCCGCTCGGCTCAGCTCAGCCCGGCTCGGACGGACGCGGTGCCCGTGCGGTCCTGGGGCCGCCGGGCGGCGGCCGCGCATGCGCCCCTGCCGCGCGCTCTGGCATGCGCTGTCCGGCCGGGCTGTGGCGGGGAAATGGCGGCGCCGGAGGGCGGCTCTGCCGCGATGCCCGCGGCTTGTCCCGCTCCGCCTGGTCCCTCGGCTCCCGGCTCCTGGAGCCGCTCCTTGGACCGAGCCCTGGAAGAAGCGGCGATCAGCGGGACCCTCAGTTTGAGCGGCAGGAAGCTCCGGGACTATCCGCGGGCCAGCGCCGCCAACCACGATCTCAGCGACACCACCCAGGCTGGTGAGGGACAGGGCGTGAGGGGGGCGAGGCAGCGGGGAATGGGAGCGGGGGCTCTCGGGGGCTCTGAGCGTCCTGGCTGCCCTACCAGCCCCTCGCTCGGGACTGAGCCTGAGGTGACCGATTTGCTGTCTGTTCGTTAAATTGAAGCTGGTTTCGCCTCTTCCTTCGCTCTCCGCCCTTCCTCTCCTCGGCTCTCGAGGCAGGATGGAGGAGCTCTGGCAGGGTTCTTCCTTTGCCCGTCTGATGAGATCTCTCTCATTGTAGGGGTTTTTTTACTTTATCATCTCTGCTGTAAAATGTTTCCCTTATGGAGAACTGTTTCAAAGAGCGTTGTGAGGTTTTTCTCAGTATTGCTGCTCGCTGCTGTGATTTTAGCTAGTCTTGTTCTTGCTCTGATACGTCTGTGTGTGAATGTGTGTATATACACATTTGTGTGCACCCTCACAATCTCTCATCTTGTCCTACTGACACGGGAAACCAACTTTCCAAGAAGGGCTGTCAGGTGTGTGTATGCTAAAGAAACTATTTTTTATAAGCTCTATAATGTCTTATGCTTCTATTATTGTCATAAGCCATAAGAAGAGATGAAAAATACCCTGAATATAATCACAGCCTTTTCTTTTTTTCCTCTGTATAGCATGAATTTAAGGATATTAAAGATTGTTAATTACTTTACAAGGTACAGTAAGCATTAGGGCTTTTGTTCTCTCTATTCCTTGAATGTATTCATAAGAATAGATTAAAAAACTGACTGTAAGTACCTTGATCACAAGTGAAAACACATCTGTGTTTGCATATTACTGTAATAACTAGAGAGCTGAGAGTTGGGAGAGTTTGTGCAGATGTAGAAATCTTCTTAATACATGATGTAGATCAGATTTAGTTTACTTTGATTGTGCAGTTGTATAAGCAAAGTCGGAGTGACTTTAAAAGGTGTCAGCATGCCATCTGTTTGAAGCTTTGAAATCTAGACTTTTTAGTTTTGAGTTGTAGCTTGAAAGCTTAGAAATAAGCTTCCAACATCACTTTTTTCAAGTTTCCATATTGGTTTGTAAGTGTGCTGCTTACACTGTTATTTAAGTAATTCAAAATGGAACCTTCTTTAAAATTGTCTTGACTTCATACTCTGTCCTGTCACATGCTACTTATGCAAAAATCTGTCACTAACAAAAGAAACACTCATGAAAACTCAAGCAGACTCGAGACAGCACTGGTTTGCTTGTCTTGAACACAGCTGTACATAGAAAACACTTCTCGTTGGGATATAAATTTTTGGGGTGTATTTTGTTTCTTTTGTACCAGTGCAGTTGCACAATGCTTGTGTAGTGGACTAATCTGTAAGCCAGTGCAGCATACACATTTGTGAGGGGTTTGGGCTTTTTGTTTATAATACTATTCATTTACTGTACTCTTAAACAATTTGTGGGAATTCTTGTTCCCACCAAGGTTCCCATCTATTGTGATGAATATTTGCATTGTAGTTGTTCAAGAAGCATTAAATGCTAATAAGCAGCAGTGCATGCCATACACTTTTGTGCATTTATCATCACAATGAACCTCAGAAAAAAGCTAGAACTGTTCTTAAGTTGTAAAAAGCAAAGCTTATTGAGTGTGTATGGGGACACACATTATGTTTAAATTCTCTGTTTTGAAGGCTGCTAGGAATAACTTCATCTTGTGCTTTTTTTTTTAGCATGGTCTGTTCTGTGACTTGTTTTTAATAATTCTGGGCACAATTTTGTTCTTGGGAGGAGACTTAAAATTATTTTGTATGGGACTAGCCACAAATAATATGATACAATGTATTTGTATGTTAGGTGTTATAAACACTTAAGTAAACACTTTAAACAACACCCCACACTGTAGACTCCCAAGGACCTTTCTAAATGCTGTGCCACAGACTCTAAGCACATGAGGTGCTGCATGTCTGTGTTTCATAAAAATGACTGGATTTGCTCCCAAATTACAAATTCAGTGACAAAACTGGAGATGAAGCAATGATGTGCAAACCGTCCTCCTCATGTGCCTGAGTAGACACCTCTCTGCTGTGAATCATGTACTGATACAGCTCATTCCCGTTCTTGGAGCAATAAAAGTACCTGCATGTCAGCGTAAGCACAGGGATGGTTACGAGGTGGGAATGAATCACATCCCTCATTAACGTAACTACCCTGCCAGAAACCAGGATCTCACTGCCCCAAGCCCTGACAGAGCCCCTGGCCTTGCCTGGAAGCTGCTCTGAACGCAGGTGAACCAGCAAAGCGGGTCAGCAGCAACAGGGTGTTAGAGATCAGAGGTTTGATCAAGTTTAGTTGGGTGCTCTGTGCGGATTTTGAGGTTGATGGTGGGTGATGTCAACCATAAGGTGCATTTGCAGATGTTAAATCAATGGGAAGATCACATTTTTTTGAACCTTGTATGGGTTCAGATTTGACTAATACTAGCCCTGGTGCTCAAGCTGTAATAGCTTCTAGGTAGCATTCTTAAACCACTCACTAAACAGTCACCAGAGCAGCAAAACCAGGTCAGGTTTGCTGCACTTGATTTTTGAACTTTATAATACAGTATTTCTTTTAGGTGGAAAAGTTAAGTTTGTCATTAATCATTTTCTTCAGTGCATAAACTTTTCACTGGGAAATGGATTGTCTAGTGATGTTAGAGCCTTGGCTGCTTCTGGGCACTGCTGTCTTCCAGATGATGAAAACCCACATGTGACTTTTTAAACCGAGATCAGTGCTCAAGGTTACTCTCAGAACTGAGCATATAACTTCAGCAGGCAGTGAAGCACTAGTGGGTTTCTAGTTGTTTTGTACTTTGACTGGAATGAAGATCCCCTGTAAAATCAAATTGAAGATGGGATAGTCTGGGGAGCTTTGGCATGGATTAGCAGGAAGGTAACTGCAGTGTGTGATCCAGTCACCCATCTCGTGTTCTTATATGTGAGGGATGTGCAAGAAATGCAGTGTAGAATAACGAATAACTTAGATATTGAAAGAGTATCTTATTCCTTTCTGTTCCTCCCTAACAGCTTAATTGGACCTTTAGAAAGTGAACAGGTTTACAAAGCTCATTGATGATGCCCAATGAGCAAACTTCTTCATTATCAAATGAAGGATATGCTTTCATGCTTCTTCTTCTCGTTTTCTTTCATACTTACATTTAGCATTCATTATCTCTCCCCATTTTATCTGAGTTACAACCCATTTGTTCATTCCACTCATGTTCTTGACCACAGAATAGGAAAAAGAAAGGCTATAAACCACCTGAGCTAAATGTGAAAGGCAGCACAGTTGCATTTTGCCAGCATTAATGTAGATTCTGATGTCATTATTTGACAGCTTTCCCAGTGGCCTAAAGCATACATTGAGCAGAAAAGTTATTTGTCAAACCCTCCATGACAGCTGTAATTACTTAAACCACTCACTGTCTCCATTTTTAAAGGAGAAGATGAAAATATGTGGGTTTATGGAATAAAAGAAATGTCTGTTGTATGGAAATTGAGTAAGATAATTACATGCAGCTCACTATGTCTTGTTTCTGGAATATATTAGTAGTAAAAAAGGATAGAAGGACTCTGAACAAGAAGAATAAAATGGTCCGTTGTGCCTTTTCAATGGCTTTGCCAATAAGGTATCTCTGTAGTTTTATCCTTACTCGTTCTCCATAGAAATGGTAAAATCTGACCATAGTGTCAGTAAATTTTCTATATGCCAAGTGCTTGCATGCATCTAGAAGGAGTGCAGTGAGTATGTGAGTGTTCTGCACTAAAGGGTCTCACTGGTGTTCTTCATTCCTGCTAGAAGTTCAGTTGATACTGCCTACTGAAATGTAAAATGGCTCAGATAGCACTGGCCCTGTTAGCCAAACATTTGTTCTTAAAGCCACAACAGCACAGTGAAATCCAGCCTAAAAGTAATTTTTTTTTTAATCTCTTTGGGCTGCTGTATTTTGAATGTAAATTTATTGTGATCATTAAGGTAACTGGGAAGGAATTGGGATTACTGTTTGTTCAAATCTCAGACTATTTGCCAGCAAAGTGTACAGTTTTAATACTTAGATCATCTAAAGTTTCAATATTAAAACCCAAAGCCTAATATGTCAGTAGGGTCATTCAGGTGCTTGTGATTGCATTTGTGTCCTTGTCTCTACCCTTAGCAAAACCCAAAGAGAAATGCCATGTGCAGAGGTTCTTGTAGCTATAGGAGTGGGAAGGAGGATCACAACCCTTCCCCTAACTTTGGATAGTAATCCAGCTTGTTCCATTCAGCTGCATTGCTTGATCTTAGCTCCTAATTTTGCCAGTCCTTGTTTAATTTGATTATTGCTCCGTTTTGTTTTTGTTCTTGTGTGTCTGTTAGTGGGAAGTCTTGAACTCATGTGGTCTGTGTATAAACACTGGCAATTCTTGGCCTAATGGTGGTACTTTGGTAAATTGCTAAATTAAGGTCAGTTCTCTGGCTTTTTTTTTTTTATTGTTTCCATGAAAACACAGAGAGCAGTAGACTGTGATAGTTTACAGTTCATTTTTGTAGGATGTGTTGGGATTGGATGGAGACCTGAGGACTGCAGTAATGCTCAGCTGCTCTTTAGCCACAGGAAATCTTTTTGCCTCACGTTTTATGGCAACTGGGAAACTGCAATCTGAGCTTGTGGCTTCTAATCCTTGTGGCAATAAAAGCAATACGTGACATTCAGAATGCCTTTGTTTAGTGAGTTTATCTTTTAAAACAAACAATAAAGTCCTACCATCAAATTTTATTACCAGTGAGTTCTTGTAAGTGGTGCTCAGTAGTATTACATGTGTTTCTAGTTACTTGCCAAGTCTTCCCCTTCCTTGACTCCATCATGATCAGATTTAATTTTTTTAATACTGTTCTGACTGCATATGCCCTTGTGGTTATATTTTTGGAGATAACTGTAACTACATAAAGAAGGTAGGGATCAATAGTTGAATTTATTGAGGCTTGTAGTCACATGAAGGACAAATTAGAATTTAGGGA